GGTGAATTTATTTCACCATTTATTTTTAGTCCCACCTACTTCTGAAAGTATGTTAAGTGGTACCTGTCTTGGCAGGGGTCTAGGGAGGACAAAATATCTTCTCTTTGAAAACCAGTTCATGGAACACCAGCCCTGCGAGTTGTTAACAGGTTAACAATGGAGAAGAGAGTAATTTCAGTATTCAACCCCTAAAAAAACAAACGAAACCAATTGCCATCGAGTCAATTCCAACTCATGGTGACCACATGTGTGCCAGAGTCGAACTGCCCTCCATAGGGTTTGCAAAGGCTGTGAACTTTCAGAAGCAGATCACTAGGTCTTTTGTTCAAGGCACCTCTGGTGGATTCAAACGGCTAACCTTTTGGTCAGTAGCTGAGTGCTTAACAGTTTGCACCATATTTTAAATGTGAACATCATTTAAATGAGAGACATCTTTACAGCGTGGTTAAAAGCATAGATCTAGTTAGTCATTCCTAGGAACTAATCTCAGCTTTACTACTTTACCAGCTATATAACCTTGGGTAAGTTATTTAAATTTTCAATGTCCTCTGTTCCTTGTCTATAAAATGGGGATAATCATAATAGTACCTACCTCATAAGGTTGTATGAGTCTTAAATATATTGGTTAATCTTTAATTAACATATGCAGAGCACTTAGTACGATGCCCAACACATGGTAAGCATGCTGTAAGTATTTGCTGTTGTTCATTTAACTCAGTTATTTCCAACTGGGGACAATTTTGCCTCCCAAGGGACATTTGGCCGTGTCTGGAGTATTTTTTGTTGCCATAACCTGGGGGGGGAAGGGAGTTATTGGCATCTAGTGAGTAGAGGCCAGGGAGGCTGCTAAACATCCTACAGTGCACAGGACAGCCCCCACAACAAAGAATTATCCTATTTAAGATGTCCAAGGTTTGAGAATCCTTGATTTAAACTGAGCATGTAGAAGCCCAGAAAGGTGCTTCATCTAATGAATGTCTAGGTGAAAATAGGTCAGATAAAAATTTTGGTTAGAAAAATTCTGTCAGCAAAATTACTAAATGCCCACAGTGTATAGAGAACCCTGTATTAGACACTTCGGAGGCTATAAGAGAAACCAAAGCACTATCCTTGAGGAGCTTAAAGAAGAGTTCTGTGTGATTGGGTTATTTAAGAGGGAATTTTTTACCAAGAGATTTTTGTAGTCATTTTTCCCTTAATAAGGGGTGATGTAGGGTCGTTCACACTACTCACAATAATGTTCTCTTGAATGCCAACACTTACAGTTCCGTGTAAAGAAGCATCTTAAGGGAACAGTGTGTGGTTCCTTCACATGTCTGAATGTGTCTTGTGTTTGGGTAAATGCGATTGAACAAATATCTGAAAAAAAGAAATCACTGTCACAAATAAAAATTACTTGTTATATGTTAAGGCACATACACAAGAGAAAATATTAAATCTCCTCATCTCCAACCACTCTTATACCAAAAGGAGAATGTTCCACTTTTTGCCTACTTTCCATTTAAAGAATTATTTTGTCAGATTCCAGAACTGTGTGTTCATATAGTCTAGTCCAGAACACAGAATTCATTCTCACACAAAATGGCTCATTATCAAAAGTCCTCTCTTGATTTGTTAGCAGCGAAGGTTTGGGAAGGAACCCTTATTCCCCCTCTTGTTCTTTTTGCCTTTAGGCTAAGGATTAGAAGTCTTTTCAAAGCATGCCATGTCTTCACTTAATTCCTGTCGGTGGCAATTGTCCTTCAGGATTGGGCAATGAGGAGGGCTAATGAGTCTGGGGGAGCCCATCAGGAGAAAAGCACAACCCAAGGTTCCAGCCCTTGGAAACTGACCATGGGATGGGTGATCATTGGATGGGGCAGGAAACCGCACACCATGCAGTCATCTTTGCACACCTTCCACCACAACCTGACTTTGTACATGTAAAGGTTTCTGTCAACTCATATTTATCCAGTGCCTACTATGGCAAGGGCACCCTAATGGTGCAGTGATTAAGAGCTGCAGCGAGCTACGGCTAACTAAGAAAGGTTGGCAGTTGGAATCCAACAGCCACTCCTTGGAAACCCTATGGGGCAGTTCTACCCTGTCCTATAGGCTCGCTATGAGTCGGAATTGATTCGACGGCCATGGAACTATGGCAAGGGATTTTATTAAACACTCTTATAGGGGAAAACAAAGGTGAATTAGACAGAGAGCATGTCACAAGGAGTTCTTGGTCTGGCAGGGGAATAACACATGTTATAAATCACTCTAATACAAAGCAGAAAATGACACATGCAACAAGAAAGAAATATAGATAAACCATTACGGTATTTCAGAGTTCACTCCAGTGAGGAGTATGGGGAAGTCTTTTTGGAGAGGATGGTCCTTGAGTTCGAATATGAATGTTGGTGAAAATGTAGACATGTTGAAATGATGCTGGAGTATTCTAAAGAACAGAGCAAGCTATCAAGGTGAAAAATGTATTATGTCAGAGAAGTTATTTTTGTTTTTTTTTAGGTAGTTTGTTTTTGTAGGATTTGTGGAGGTGAGTGTAGGGAAATAGGATGAGCTGCATAGATTGGGACCAGCTCATGAAGAACCCACAATGCCAGGACATATTTAAGCCACGGAGAATCATTGCCGTTTTCTGAGCAGATATGGGAGTGAATAGTCACTGGATGAGGAAGATTGTTGTGCAGCTGTATAATGTCAATTGGAGAAAAAATGAGGGTCTGAGTTATTGTGGGGCATGATGGGTAAGGAGAGGCAGACTTGACCAACAATTCAGATAAAGCATTTGACGGGACGTGATACAGGTGGGCTTTCTTAGAGAGGCAACATAGCATTGTGTTTAGGAGCATGAGCACTGGACACAGATTCTTGGGTTCTAGTCCTGGCTTTGCCTCTTAAACCAGCTGCATATTCTTGGACAAATAACTTTACCTCTGGTGCCTCACTGTCTTCATCCAAAAAAATGGGGAGAAAAACTTTGTTCCTTATATACAGGTACTGGAGTCCTTGGGTGGTGCAAATGGTTAATGTGCTTGGCTGCTAACCAAAAGGTTGGCAGTTTGAGTCCACCCAGAAGCACCTCAGAAGAAAGGCCTGGTGATCTACTTCCGAAAAATCAGCCATTGAAAACCCTATGGAGCACAGTACTACTCTGACGTATGTAGGGTTGCCATGAGTCAGAATCGACTTGACAGCAACTGGTTTTATACATGTGCTGAAGATTAAATAAATAAGTGCATTTTTAACACTTTCTGAATAACACATGACATAACAAAAGTTATTGTGCTTAGTAGCTCAATATAAAAATTGGCTGTTATTATTATTGAGGGCAACAAGAGAATGAAATAGGAAGGTGGACTTCTGAACCAAGTTGGAATGATGGTGATTGCCAGAAAGAGTTACACAAGGAAATGATTTATCACTTTGTTCCTTTCCACAAAGCTATTTGTAGGGGCTGGAATGTGGTACCATGTCTAAATAGAGGATGGTATGAAATACATGGACCACCCATCTATGGAATTGTCCCACCATCTATGTTCTTCTTGCTTTCTAGTTTCGAAAGCATTGATTTCACTCTCTGGCATTAGCTGTGTTAAATTACTCCAACAGAGCAGGAGTACTCCTAAGACATCATAATTTCCTCATTTCTACTAATGGGGAGACCAGGAGCCAAAACTCTGATGGCCCCATGGGAGATCATCAAAGAGATGATGCTTTGAAGAGAAAGGGAGGGTATTTTTATAGACTCAAATGGACATTGAAGATGTGTTATTTAAAAGAAAAGCAACTAAGATGTTTTGGTTTTAGTTGAGGAATATTGTCTGTGTTTTTAATACCAAAAAAAAAAACAAACCCATTGCCATCGAGTCGATTCTGACTCATAGCGACCCTGTAGGACAGAGTAGAACAGCCACATAAGGTTTCCGAGGAGCAGCTGGTGGATTCAAACTGCCAACCTTTTAGTTAGGAAACGAGCTCTTAACCACCGTGCCACCAAGGCTCCGTGTTTTTAATGGGGGTGTGTTATATGCGGAAAGGAGGATAGAAGAGAGACAGGGAGTATCCTGGAGCTAGACATCCAGCTCTTATTTTGAAACCATGGAACTCAGAGAGCTGAAATGCTCTGCTCTTCTTCGATGCCCGATTCGGCGCTCAGATTGTTCTAATTTAATGCATGTATGAGAATAAAAATCAAACTTCCCAGTTCTGGGGCACATTAACAAAGAAGAGGCAGGCTTTTTCCCTGTAAGATTAAACAATCATCCGGGTTTAAAGGATTTAATCTGCTTGAGCTCAGTCCAGGATGGGGTTCATAGCCCCAGAATAATTGGAAGCAGCATCAGGCTTTGAACATCAGAGGCTGTGTGCGTGCATGTGTGTGTGTGTGTGTGTGTGTGTGTGTGTGTGTGTGTGTGTGTGTGAGAGAGAGAGAGAGAGAGAGAGAGAGAGAGAGAGTGAAATGTGCTAGCAAGTCAAAGAGGTCTCTCCTTCACAATGTGCCTGGGCAGGAGAATAAGGCTGCCTGCCCTGCCTCCTCCAGTCTGTAGGAGCTGACTGGATGCGACTTCTGGGGGTTGCTGTGCACATGAATGTGTGCTATTGTTCCAGGCACATGTCGACCCAAGAAATAGCACAAAACAGGCCCGTCCTTATTCAGATGCAGAGCCCTTCCATCACTCAACCCAGCCTTTCCAGGTCACATGCCGGAGGCCTTCGCAGACAGGGCACAGCTGCCTCAAATCTGCTGCCTAACATTAGCTGTGGTTCAAAAAACCTGACAGCACCAAGCTTCCCAGGCTCCGCAGGGAGAGACCAGAAAGCTCTGGGATCCAGGCAGGATGTTCTCCCAGGAACTGTGGCTGGAAAATGAGAAAAAGTGTGCTGTGGTTCGGAAGTCTAAACCAGGCAGGAAACGCCAGGAGCTGCTGGCCGTGGCGTTGGGGGTGAAGGTGGGAGTCAAAGGCAGCTTTCTTTGGCCCCCTCTCAAACTCTTTGCCTGTTCACAGATCTCCTCCCTGGTTCGAAGGGCTGCCCTCACGCACAACGACAACCACTTCAACTATGAAAAGACACACAACTTCAAGGTAAGCACACCTCCACCTTCTTTTTTCTGTTGTAAAAGGACAGGTGGCGCAGTACCGTTCATGGTTTTCGTCTGGTCTTTATATGAGGATGTGATTGTAAACTAACAAGTCTGCAAATTCCTTTGTTTCCCATTTTTAACAACATGATTCACACCATTGTATCACATCAAGCTGGAGACCTCAGAAAGCAGTTTGCATGATGCTGATGCTTAGAAATACCTATATGTATATTGACTTAGTTCTGGAGAATTGGGCCCTTTTCCTCTTCCCGTTAACCGTATCCAATGGAAGAAAAACAGAGCCTACTCCGTCTGTTTGCCTTTAGAGATCTTCTGGCAAATGTCGGTCGGGCAGTATTTTTCCACTCCAAGCAGCGGTAAAGAGAATTACGTACTATCTCTGAGCAAGCGAAAACAGTTGCCTGTGAACATTCTGTGTTTTGTCTTTTGTTTTCAGTGATGCTAACTGATTTCATTTCTGTGTGGACAGCTGTGAAAGCAAACGACAGGAGATACCAGCCAGTAGCTTTTGCTTGCGCTCTGGGTGCAGGGGGCACCCCGCAGCCTGGCCAAGCTCAGCCCAGTCACAGCCTTGATCCTGCTTACCAGACCAAACAAAAGATAGGGAGAGCTGGTGGGAGGTTAAGTGGATTTTCCCTGTGTGTGCTTATAAACTGGAAGACCGTTATCTCCATTGCAGACTTGTACTTGTATAAACGGTCTGCTAGTAGAAAATTATGTCCTAATTCCATTGTCCTAAAGTGTTTCCTGGGAGTCCTGGGTGAAACAAATGGTTAAACGCTTGACTACTAACCAAGAGGTTGGCAGTTCGAACCCACCCAGAGGCACCTCGGAAGAACCGCCTGGCGATATACTTTTGAAAGATCACAGTCTTGAAAACTCTAGGGAGACAGTTCTACTCTGCACACACGGAGTTGCCATGAGTCAGAATTGACTCAGAGCAACTGGTTTGGTTTAGTAAAGCGTTTCCCGAGAAGGGCTGGGAGGGAATTCTGTTGTCAAATTGCCATGCTTGAGATGCTGTTGAGGAGAGGAAAGACAGGGCGGAGTTAGAGGTTTTACTCCAGCAAATAGGCTGGCATTTACAAGTTGGAGAGATTGAAGATGAAGGATCCAGGAAGGAAAGAATGGGCAGGGGAGCAAAGTGTGCATTGCCTTCTTATGTACACTCTTGTCTCCTTTAAAGCTAGTAGCCTGAGTGACTGTTGGAACTAGACAACCCTTTGTCAGAGGTGACAAGGGAAATGCATTTTAATCTGTTGCTTTCTGATCTCTCATAAGAACAAATGTATGTCTATTAAATATACATTCACGTTAGTTGGATCTGTTTGCCCTGCTTCTGTTTTTGGAAAGCAAACAGCTCTGGCATTTGCATCCTATAACTGAACTGAGCAATGAAATTATTCAGCCCTCCATATTTAGCAGTAGAGTGAAGAATTGCATTATACAGGGCCTCACGTATGCCAAGGCTCTTGGTTTTTCTCCCATCACTGAATTGTGACAGGTCTAATTTGGAGCATAAAAAGCCTTTATGTTTTGTTTTGTTTTTTTTTTTCTTTCGTATTTTCTATTTATACCCTCATTAATTTTTTGCCCTAAGAAAGTATTTTCCTGACTTTTGGCAGAAATCCCTGATTCGTTGCATCCTGTGCTGCTGTGGATGGGTCTTCTTGGACTTGCAAATTCTTTTCCTTCCTCTTGAAAATTCCAATCTTTTGGCTTTCAGATACAGTTGGAATTGTGCCCTCTGATATGTGTTTGTGTGGAATATCTCCTGTATGTACGTTACTGTGTTTGAGCTTCTGTTAAAAACACACACACATCTTTAGTTCATCGATACTTTCAAAACTAATTTCAGCCTTTCTAATTTTAAATCTCTGAATGGAAAATTATTCTTAAGACATTTTAAAACAAAAAAAGGTAGTTGAATCTTATTTCTTAAGTAGTACTGCTGCTAAGGCAATATATTAAATATTTATCACTGAAAAACACAAACGGCTTTTGAAATGCTTCAAAACTCAGTGTCTATTCAGGGTGATCGCTTATAATTCACAGCTATTGAGAAAAGAAAAGACACAGAATAGAACAAGTTGCCAGAGAGGAATACAGAAGCCAGACAGGAGCGTTTCTCTTCCGCATTTAAACAGACGTCTTTGAGACAGAGCAGACCCTTGAGTAGTTGTGGCCATTGATTGTGGATGTCAATGGTACTGCTGGTGCCACTGTCCTTAAGAATGAGTGGGGGGGTGGGTACTGCCTGTCATCCACTGCCCCTTCCACCAGGCAGTCAGCCCTCTCCTCACACCCAGCTAACTTTAACTGGGGACTTTGCACAGTCTTGGGAAAACATTCTATAAGTGGGTCTGTGCTATAAATAGAGTAGTGGGCTTTTAGTAACAAGCAACTGAACTAACTAACTGAAGAAACAAAACTCTTATCAAAGGCCTCTGTCATCTGCCTGGGATTTGTGTTTTAGATTTTAAATTTACGTTTGCTTTTTATTTATTTTGACTTCTAGTAGGCTTTATCCTGAAACTTTCTTGTTTGTAATTCAGATTATCTTTTGGTGGTGGTATATGCATGGCATAGAGTTAGTGTTAAAAAAGAATAATCACATGTTTATGCTTATCAGTAAATATGCCTTGCTAGACCCTCTCAGCACATTGAATCTGCCAGGAGATGGTGATAACTCTCCCCATAACAAGATTTTTGCCCCAGTCAGGAGTATTCCTCCAGGTAAAAAGCCCCAGCCTTGCTCAGGACCTTCAGGTAGAGCACCTTACACTCAGCCCTCCACCCAGAGGAATGAATAGAAACTCAGCACAATAAAACCAAACCAAACCAACTGCTGTGCTCCACAGGGTTTTTTGGGAAGTAGATCGCCAGGCCTTTATTCTGAGGCATCTCTGGGTGGGCTCAAACTGCCAGCCTTTCAGGTGGGAGCTGAGTGCTTAATCGTTAGTGCTACCCAGGGGCTGGGAACTCCTGCTCCTTCCTAGATAGTTCCCAGTCACTGCTTGTAAGTGCCTATCTACTGCCCTTGCTTTTCAAGCAAAGCATGCTCAGGAAATACCAAAATTCAGCTCTGGGAACAAAAACTTTTGGAACCAGATTACAGTTGCAATTTATTTCACGTAATAATTATGTACTTTTCAATATATTTTCCACAAATGCAATGTTTGCTCATTTACATCCTAAATTCATTTAAGGTTACTTGCATATACTAGGCACTAAAAGGTATTTGTTAAATGATAAAATTAACAGGCTCCTTTCCAAAATGAAAATTGTTTATCAAGAGGAAAAACCACCCCATTATTTATCTCATTTTATAACTGCATCTCTGTTTATCTAGTTAACTTAAAGAAGCACTCTCCGTAGATAGATAGCTCTCGTTTAAATGATATACCCTAATAACACTAAGGCTGAGCCCTAAAAATCTTCAGGCCAGCGAACCCCACCAATCTGGATAACTTTCAGTCCTTCTTTAAGGACTGTTTAACACAGTGATGAGGTAGCAATCGCCAGCTTGACACTCCTGACCATGATGTGATTTTTGGCAAAGGGTTTGGCTCGCTCAGCCTCAGTTTCCTCATCTGTAAAATGGGAGCGTTGTGAAGTTTAAATAATACATGTATTAAGTGGTACATATAGGTGCCACTTATCATGCATGGTCTCTGGCACCTAGTAACTGTTCAATTAATATTAGCTTCTATTGTTATTTTATTACTCTTCTTATGCCTCTCATTTCTCATCTTTGTGTTTATCTTTCTCTGTCTCGTATTTATTTTCTACTCTCGCTTCTTCATGTCCTTCTTTCCTATTTCTATTAATCTCTTTCTCCCTCTATCATTAACTAGATGCAATAGAGAAATGAAGAAAAACCTCATGATTGATGCTATTTTATTGACTTTATTTTATCCTGTAGTCAATACCGGTTTATGTTCCTCAGTTGTTTAAAAAGTAGGTGAGTGTGGCACTTCAGATTTCATACATTCTTCCTCAGTTCTTAAAAAATCACTTGATATCCTGTTGGTGGGAATGTAAGATGGTACAGCCACTTTGGAAATTGATTTGGCACTTCCTTGAAAAGCTGGAAACAGAAGTACCACACGATCCAGCTATCCCGCTCCTTGGAATATATCCTAGAGAAATAAGAGCCATCATACAAATAGATTTATGCACATCCATGTTCATTGCAGCACTGTTCACAATAGCAAAAAGATGGAAACAGCCTAAGTGCCCATCAACGGATGAATGGATAAACAAATTATGGTATACCCACACAACAGAATACTATGCAACAGTAAAGAACAATGATGAAGCTGTGAAACATCTTATAACATGGAGAAAGCTGGAGGTCATTATGCTTAGTGAATTTAGTCAGTCACAGAAGGACAAATATTGTATAAGACCTCTATTATAAGAACTGAAGAAAAGGTTTAAATACAGAAGAAAACATTCTTTGATGGTTACGAGGGTGGGAAGGGAGGTGAGGGTTATTTACTAACTAGATAGTAGATAAGAATTAACTTAGGTGAAGGGAAGGACAGCACACACTACAGGGGAAGTCAGCACAACTGGACTAAACCAAAGCTAAGAATTTTCCTGAATACAATTAAACACTTGAAGGGACAGAGTAGCAGGGGTAGGGATCTGGGGACCATGCTTTCAGGGGACATCTATGTCTATCGGCATAACAAAGCTTATTAAGAAAATGTTCTGCATCCTACTTTGGTGAGTTGCATCTGGGGTCTTAAAAGCTTGCTAGCAGCCATCTAAGGTGCATCAATTGGGCCCAACCACCTGGAGTAGAGGAGAATGAAGAACACCAAAGACACAAGGAAAGTATTAGCCCCAAGAGACAGAAAGGGCCACATAAACTAGAGACTTCATCAGCCTGAGGCCGGAAGAACTAGATGGTGCCCAGCTACCACCAATGACCACCCTGACAGGGAACACAACAGAGAGTCCCAGATGGAG